CTTCGTGCTATCCATCACGTCTTGTGATCGTGGATACTCTCCGATGCACTGCAAGACAACGTCTACTTTTCTCCTGATTATCCTTCCTTGTTCCTGGATGTTTTTATTCCATTCGTCTAACCTCCATGATAGTCTAGGTACCTTAAAAACAGCCCAAACATGTAAGACAATGCAAAAATCCTAAACTAATGCATCCTAGACCCATATGAGTAAAAACAAATCATTAACTAAGATCTAAATGCAATGACTCTATCCTAACTATCATGAAAAGACAAGAAAAATGATGCAAATAATAGAGACATCACTAACGAGCCTCCTTAGCCTCCATAGAACCTAGATAACTGATAACAGGTTTATTTTGTGGACTTGTTTCTCAAACCCAAACCAAGATAATGATGTAGTATAGTGGTTTAGGGAGTCAATCCAGCTCAGGTTCTTGAAAGCTACTAGGAATGCAAGAGCAATGCAAAGCTAAGTGAAATCGGGTAAATGGAGGAGAAAATCGATAAAAACTAAATGCAAATGCTAAATGTCTACAATAACTATTTTAAAATACCTGCAAAAGGGTTAAACAAGTGCTAGATGACTTATAGGAATTTAAAATGCAAGACTACTAATATATAAAAATCGAACTCTAAAAGCAGATAAACAGAGAAATTTCTAACAACCTAGGACAATGACTTTCAAGATTAAAAATGCAACCTTTATAACTAAGAAATGATTACTTTGAGTTTTAAAAGGCTAGAAAGAGGATCCAAGGTTGATGGTCATGTTAAGAAGGTTCAAGATTCAAGCTTGGGTTTTGAAAACATTAGATCTACACATTTTGTGCCATCTCTAAGCCTTGAGAAGCTAAAAGAGGTTTATCCATAGTGTTTGGTATAAACCATTTCCTCAACCCTTCCTCCTAACCCATGGTGTGTGGTGGAAAGATGGGTCAAATAACATTAAGCATAGATCTCAAATAATGGCCTAACTAGCTCCCTAAGCATCCATGGCATTTGGGAAAGGATGAGCTAGTCTCTTGGATTTGGTTTTAAGGGATTCCTGAATCCTGTCAAGGTAAGGAAAGCCCTGAGATCAAAGAGATCTTTCCCAAGACTCTCTAAGCATTAAGAGTCCAAATCCATGAAGAGAATATATTAAGAACAAGAAAAGTCCCAAACTTAAACCTCTTAAACCCTCTTAATCTCCCCAACCTTAAACCCAAGAAGAACTACTCACTACACATAGCTAAAACACACGAAAACATAAAGGATGAAAAGCTAAACATGATTAAAGAAGACAGATTAAGGAAAATACTTATGATTAAGATAAGATTAAGAGTTTACAAAACTAGAAAAGCTTAAAACTTCAACAATGGCGATTTGCCTAAGAGAAAGATAGAAAACTTGGAGACAAAGTGTGCTTAATGAAAGTGATAAGGTTTTTACGCCCAAAATAGGCCAACAAGAGAAAATGGTCCCCTCACTAAAATCCAAAAGTGAGCTGGCCGGATAAGGTGTAGAGATCGAGTTGGGTGATCGATCTCTAGCTCGATCCTCTTCGTGGATCGTCTTCCTTTGCTCGATCTTCGGGTCGATTCGGTTGGCTGGTTCGAGTGCTTCCATCGATCTTCTAGTCGATCCTTGGATGATCGAGCCGTGATTAGTTCCCATGTCCGTACTCACGATCGATCATCTTGGTTGATCTTAGTCTCGATCCTCCTTCCTGAAACGACCTCCTTGTCTCGATCTTCTGGTCGATCTCGTCTAGATTGACCTGCCCAGCTCGATCTGTGCTTCGATCTCGGCTCCTTTGCTGCATGCATGAGTTCTCCCAGGTGTCCATAACTTCCTTCACAATCATTGGCGTGTCCACACAACCTCCACAGCTCTAGTGTAGCCAAAACAACCTGAATATGATGCATGAATGAATGAAACATGCAAAATGCTAATGCAAAGTGTTCTAGGACCTAAAATGAGACAAATGGTGCAAACATAGCCTATTATGTAAGATGAATGCATGAAAACTACTCTAAATGCATGCTAAATATGTGAAATATGTGAGTCTCCTCTATAGATGGTGCTCAAGAGTGTCTCCTCAGTGAAGCCGTGATGAGGACATGCAATGGTGTAGTCCTTGAACCGCTCCATTGCTTCACTAAAGGACTCATTTTGCCTTTGTGTAAAACAGCTGATCTCACTCCTTAGTCGAGCTATCCTTGTGCTTGAGAAGAACTTAGACAGAAATGCCTTCTTGCAATCAGCCCATCATGTTATAGTCCCTTGAGGTAAGGTCTTCTCCTAATATCTTGCTTTATCTCCAAGGGAAAAAGGGAAAAGCCTTAGCTTGAAGCTGTCCTCCGAGATCCCATTGATCTTGATCATTCCACACACTTACTCAAAGTTGTCAAGATGCTCCAAAGGATCCTCCATTGCAAGACCATGGAACTTGTTGTTCTGCACCATTGAGACAAACAACCTGAATATGATGCAAGAATGCAAGAAATATGCAAAATGCTAATGCAAAGTGTTCTAGGACCTAAAATGAGACAAATGGTGCAAACGTAGCCTATTATGTAAGATAAATGCATAAAAACTACTCTAAATGCATGCTAAATATGCGAAATATGTGAGTATATCAATAACACCTTCAAAATGCAACAAAACATACAATGCATACCTAGACACAAGCTAGCTTTAATATGAATGTGAAAGAGACCTACAATGAGAGTTTATCCATGAAGAAGACATAAAAAAACATATGATTATACAACCCTAAATGATGTAAATATACAAGCTATCAGTATTCTCGGTTATTCCGAAACGAATCTCTCAATTTTTCACAACAATCATATGAGTATGTAGACAACAAGTAATGCGATCTCCGACATCGATGGGATACAAGTGCCTTTTTACGCAGACTGGAAACATCGTCCGCCAGATCCAAATGCTGATTAAGGGTAAACCAATTTTACCAATTCTCATTGGTACATCTACATCGTGCAGTGATCTAAATTAACATACACATAAATGCGCAGAGATGCAATTCTGTGAATAATGGTGATGAGTAGTTGTTAACGATGACCGAATCATCAGAATATTGGATATGGTCGTCTGGAGACACAACATTCACTTGCATATGGATGGATCGACAAGGTTAGTATTTTTGTGGATGGATAGGTAGATTTATTTGTCAAGAGAAGCTAATTGACCGGATAACATTGTCATTACAATATGCATATTTGTGGATAACTATTCATGGAACATATACCAAGATCACATGTGGATACTATAACTTAAAGTTGATGTATATGTAGCCCTTCGGTGGACAGCGCTTATCACAAAAGACACACATCGTTAGGTAGATGCAAGCCCGCGTTGTGGATGCATCGAACTCCACGGGCACCATGTGTGTATAACACCCAGTGGATACGTTAACAGAAAAGTGGTTTACACATACCATCGGACCTTCCATAGACGCCAATGTTCTGCAAGCTATTTTTTTAAACTATGGATGACAATGAGTGTATGATAAAATATGGTAAACATACTAATATTAACACGCACGGCCAAGAATAACATTGCGTAGATGTTTAGAGTATCGTTATAGTTTATTTTCTAATGTATATTTTTACAGCCACGTGCAACTATATATCGTATATCATATACGTACATCCAAGGCCGTTGAAGTCCACATTTACGCACATATAACGTATTCTTCAAGTAGAACCTTTTCTATACAAATTTCATATACATACATCCAAGCAAACTATGATCTCTTCAATTCAATTGTATACCGAAGCAAAACAGTTCGTTCATCTACTAAAGATACATCCATGGTTAACATTTTGTGGATGGCGGTATATAACATTCACATGCATCTTTTCATCTGTTAATGTAACAGCCGTCGACAATGAAAGTTGATGGCCGTTGCAATTTTGGTTTACTATTGTGGACAATAGAACAAGTCTTTGGTGTTGATATCGTTGTCGAAAAATTGCCAGAAATTTTGGTATTGATACCAAATTTTCCTGGATGATGTAAAAATAATATTGTATTTATAATAGTCAAATGTAAAAAAAAAAAGTAAAATAGTAAGAAGAATAAATTAAAAGTATAACCGACTTTTCAACACTAATAAATACTAATGTTGCACAAAGTGCCTTTTATTATAATTAGTTTCATGTAATTGTCTCTTTTTTTAATGAGGAAATCGTATGCATAAAAACTGGCAAAAAAATCATAGAATTTTAATAAAATTTTGATTATGTATAATTTTTATCGATAAATTGTATCTTCAATCTATTTTTTACTTAGCTTTTTGTTTAGCAAACCATTTGACTTTTTTTTTATTTTTTTTTTATAATTTGTTTTTTTTTCAACAATCTCTTCCTTTAAAGCATTTCCATCTATGAAATACCCATAAAATATCTTTAACAAAATAATATTATTATTTTAACCTAATTACATTTTATAATTAAATCTTACTGTTTTTTAAAAAAATTGAACAAATAAATAAAAAGATAAATGTGATCCAAGGTTTCTTATCAATATTTTAAAATTTCACATTTAAAAAGTCTTATTTATTCTCTTTCTATCTTTTTATTAATTTTCTTTCTTCATTCACTAAATACCTTTCTAAGATATCCATAATGCTCTTAATTTTTTCTTTATACAGTTTGTGTAATTTTAATGAATGCAGTAAAAAAAAAAAACAAGACTAAAATTTAATACGGGTCCTTTGTTGGGTTTCCACCTTAACAGAGACCTTCCTGTGAAAGCTGTTCTGCAGAGCATAGATTCCAAATAAATTGGAAGAGAACAAGAAATACAAAACCAACAAACGAAATTCAAACGCAGCCGGAATCAAAATCCGATATTATTCGGCAGAAAAACTAAAATCTCTAAAAGGTTTTAGAGAGAGAATTGAGAGAGAGAATTGAGAGAGAGAGCTTTTAAAATATGACCCAAGATTAAAATGTTTTAGGAAAAAATTGAGAGTTTTTCAAAATAGCCATGGCTACGACTCCACCGAACAAACTCTCTCTCTTCCCTCTACTTTCTCTTCTCTGTTTCATCTCCATTTTCTTCCTTCTCTCTCTATCCAAACGCGCTTCTCTCTCCTCTCCCAATACCCACCGCTCCGCCACCGTCTTTCCCCCGAAATCCGACGGTTCCCGCAATGGTATCTCCGCCGCTTGCGACTTCTCTGATGGCTCCTGGATCTACGACCCCAATCCTAGATCCGTCAGGTACGATAGTAGCTGTAAAGAGATCTTCAAAGGATGGAACTGCGTTCGTAACAGCAAAACTAATGGCCTCGAGATCTCTAAGTGGCGATGGAAACCTAAGGACTGTGATCTGCCATCGTTTGATCCACTCAAGTTTCTCCAGACTCACCGAAATACCAACATAGGTACACGATTTCTTCTAAGGACTGTGACTTTGTTTGTGGAAGTGAGAAATCAGAAGCTAAGTTGTTTTTGTTCTGGGCACTCGAAACTACTAGTGAAATTGGTAAATTTTGCACTCTGTTGATTCCTGTATTTAAATTGAATCGATTCACTTTTCACAAATTGAATGCTGACTTCTCTTGGCTGTTCATATAATTGTTACTCTTGAATATGAAAATGACATTCTTATTCTTGAATCAGAAGCTAAATAGTTTTTCTGAGAACTCGAAATTACTGGTGAAACTTGGTAGATTTCTCACTCTTCCTGTATCTGAATTATATTGCTTCACTCACACCAATTGAATGCTGATTTCCCATACCTGTGTTCATTAAGTTGTTACTCTTGAATATGAAATCATGGAGTATACTTTTCAGTTTCTGTACAATCTTAAGAGTTTTTTCAAACAGTGCAGGATTTGTGGGTGATTCTTTGAATAGGAACATGTTTGTATCTCTGTTCTGCATGTTAAGGAGTGTGACGGGTGATTTGAAGAAGTGGCGACCAGCAGGTGCGGATCGTGGATTCACGTTTTTGCGCTATAATCTGACCATCGCGTATCATCGAACAAATCTCTTGGCACGTTATGGTAGGTAAGCTAACTTCTCTTTGGTGTTCCTATATCTCTGTTTGGTACTGTTTCAATGAATTTTGCTTTCCTCATGTTCGCTTTGTTCATCGTCTTCCTCATCCGCCTTGTATTTGTAGAGTAACACATTCAAAGGATCATGTTTTAGATTGTACAACCCGTTGTATGTTTAAACAGTTCTGATTGCCTAATGTAATACTTCTTTGGATGACTATATGTTTCTCTCTCACTGTGTGTGTACGCATAGCGTTTTAATTGGTTTTCACACTGATCAGATATATTTCCTCCCACTGGTGGAATTTAGGTGGTCAGCTAATGCTAATGGTGGTGAGTTAGAAGCTCTTGGGTTTAAAGAGGGATATAGAGTTGATGTTGATATTCCAGATAGCTCATGGGCAAAGGCTCCAAGTTTCCATGACATTCTCATTTTGAACACCGGGCATTGGTAAGTACCCTATCATATTTCTTGGCTGATGAATATGAAACCATTTTGAACTTGTTAGATTACTCATCATCTGATTTACCTCAACTTTAGATCTGATGCCATATGACCTTTAGTCACTAAGTTCGTCTACTTCTGGTTCATGCTTTCTGTATTTCGATATTAAGTTCCAAATTTGTTTTTGTGGGAAGTGTGTGAAGTTCTCTAGTTTGAGCTAATTTCTTCTCCAGGTTATCCATTGCTCTCTAAGTTAAATAGATACATATATGCCACTGTCACAAAACGAAATGCTTCAACTTGTCAAAATATTTTCAGTAATTCTTGTTAGGTAGTATTTGCCGTTTCAAGATATGGAAGGCTTGAAACTTTATAATGTTCTGTATGCTGATAATTGCATTCGGTTTCATGGATGAAAGATAGATAATGTTGTTATACCAGTTAAATGATACCTTGGTTTATTATCTCTCCATTTAAACAGATTTTTTTTATGTGAACTTGAGATGTTGTTGATGACCTTTTGTTGTGTTTCTCTTTTGTAAGGTGGTGGGCGCCATCAAAATTTGATCCGTTAAAATCTCCCATGATCTTCTTCGAAGGCGACCGACCAATACTTCCTACTATACCTTCTGCTACTGGCCTAGACCGGGTTCTGAGCAATATGGTATTCTCTCTGAATTTCTCTGTTTTCTTAGTGTTATCGCAAGGAAGATAATATAGAACATGTGCTATGATTACGTGACTTTATAATGTTTTCTTTAAATGAGTATTTGAGTCAGCACCAAAGTGTGCAATATGATAAACTAGTTTTAGTATACAGTACTGTGATACTTATACGAGGATTTGTCATTGTGATAGGTTAATTTTGTGGAGAAGACGAAGCGACCCGGTGGGATTATATTCTTCCGGTCACAATCACCAAGGCATTTCGAAGGAGGTGATTGGGACCAAGGCGGTACTTGTCAACGACTACAACCTTTGTTACATAGAGAAGTAAGTCTTCCTTTAATCAACTTAATCATTGATTTAATTGTTAGTCTGATGTTATCATGTGGAATACCACAAACACATGCATACACTGACACAGACACAAAAAAAGCTACATTGGATAACTACTTTGCTTAAACGCATCGTCTTTTTGACAAGCCGTATGGGATTTTCAACTTCAGATAAACTAGTTTTTTTTCAGTATCTTCGAGTCTAGGCCTGCGACTAATACGCTACCGAACCAATCCGAAATTTTTGCTTTTCGGTTTTGGTTCGGTTACTTGGGCTTAACCGATCGACAGCATTTCAAAATTGATTCGGTTATTGGTTTGGTTCGGTTCAACTAAACCGATTAGTTGATCGTATTTATTTATATAACCTTTTTAATTTTATGTAACAAGAATTACCAAACTATGCATATAACCTTTTTATGTAACCAAGAATTACCAAACTATGCCAAACTTGTATACTGAATTATACCAAATTAATCAAAAACATATTAATTTTTCGAACCAAGCGAGTCGAATTTACCCGAATTTACCTAACTTTAACCGAATTTGAAAAAATATGAACCCAAAAACCAAAAAAATCGGTTAATTTCGGTAAAAAATTGTATACCCAATCCAAACTAAACCGAACCATAATTTCGATAGAATTTCTCGAACCGAACTATACCCCCACTAACTGAAATTTCCGAAAACCCGCAGGCCTAGTCGAGTCTTTTTAGGTATATTTGAGTGTTTTGGATGATTTGGAAGTTGAGCTTTAGGAGAGTAAATTGGATCAGGTTTAGCCGTTTAGGAGATACATATATATAATCTGCCTCATATATCCTATATGGTAGGTTGAAGAATTGTTCTCGGTGAGGAACAACGGAACAAATGTTGAGGTTCGTCTGGTGAATCAACACCTCTATAACTCCCTTAAGAGTAGAAGCAGCTTCCACGTCTTGGACATAACTCGAATGAGCGAGTACAGAGCCGATGCTCATCCGGCAGCAGCTGGTGGTAAGAACCATGATGACTGCATGCATTGGTGCCTCCCGGGCCTCACCGACACTTGGAACGATCTATTAGTCGCTACTCTCCCTGCAATTGAAGGCTTGTAACCTAAAAAACATGTTTTGATTCGCTATGTCTTGCTCTTCCTTAACGTCATAGTTGTATCTTACCTTTGTAAATTCTGATCTTGTGTCCTGCGAATTCTTTAATTTTCATTCTTTTTTTAGGTACTTCATGCAAATTGTTTTTAATATACAAAAGTTTACCAATGGCAGTTGATCTCGTTTAAATGGGCCACTAGAGAATTACCATGACATGCTCAATAAAAAATGCTCTACTACTCAAAAAGGAATCCCAAAAGCTTATTATATTGTTCCTATCGAAACAAAGGGAAGTTCTATGGATGAAGAAGGGTTACATCTAACCTGAACGAATGGGGGATTTAGATAATACCTTCGTTATCTCGGAGCAGCCACGAAGCTCCATAGTTTTGACAAGCTTTTATCGGGATTTTAGCTCTCTAAGCATGTGAGGAGGCAATCTTGAAGTAACGGTGTTTCAAAATATGGTAAAGAAGGATGGTTGGGCCATGACACTAGTCTCCTTCCTCTCTCTTTTGACACAACTTTTTTCCTTGACACCCAAAATATTTTTCCGGTTACTGACAGTACTTCATCAAAATTTTGAAAGTAGAATGATTGTATCTTCGTGTTTTGACTTAGAACAAATTTGATTAAAAATCCTTCAATATCAATTTTCATGTCTCCTTTGTAAATTATTATCCATGGATTAATGCTTTTTTTCTTTTGGTTATACTGTAACATGTAATACAATGAATAACAAACCATATATTTATTATGTCTTAGCTTCAAATTTTATATATTAGAATTAATCAATCGTCACCAGATTCGACCCTAAATATTAGCGATTTGTCTGTCCACTTTCCAAAATCTATCAAAGTTGTAAAACCTCTGAATGCGCTCAGTATATTGCAGGTGATTGTGAAACAACAATTGTTTTTCAATAAGAAAAATTGTATTTTGGTCAAAGTCAGGTACGGTGTGTAACGACCCGGTTTGGAGATAATGGGCCAGATTTTTGATTTTTGATTTTTGTTAGTCAGGCCCATTAAGCCCATTTTCCCTTTCTTTTTCTTTGGTTGTCGACAAACCAATACACAAAGGTGTATGTATGTATTGCCTCCTTCGCCAACCCTAGCCGCTCAAGCAGAGAAAGAGAATGTGAAGAGAAAAGAAAGAGGATTGCCGTGAACAAGAGGAGAAAAGGGAGAGAAAGAGTACGTTAGCAAAGGGAGAAAGTGAGAGAAGAGAATGAGAGTGAAAAGAAGAATCGGAAAGGAGCGAGATCCCGACCGTAAGTCGTCGAGCCACCACCGTCGTCTCCATCCATAGCCACTCATCCACAACCATTGGAGGATCCGCTATGTAAGTGGAGTAGCCGCCGTTCACACCGTGCGTCACCACCATTGTTGGGATTGCACCCGAGAAGAGGAGAAATGTGGGAGAAGGGGACCACCATCGTCGACTATCACCAATCAAATCAACATCTTCTTGAGCCGCACATCACTGGAGAGGGAGGATCTGTTATCAGTGGTCTAGATCCACAACTGTCGAGCCTTTAAGTGCAACTTTTCTCTGTTACTTGGGCCACACTTTATCAACTCCCGAAACCCTAGTCTCGTTCCTGATCCACTTCCGTGAGCATATCGTCAGCATTTCCGTTCATCGTTGTTAATATTAAGGTAAGGATGATTTCAGAATGATATTTTTATACGATTTATTCTGTTTCGTAGTTGTTAAGATTAGACTAAACTAAATATAATAAATTTTTGATTTGTGATAAGATATTACCAGATACAAATATATGTGATAATTATTAGTAGTAAAATTATATTATTTTAATATTAAAATATATATATGTATATATTTTTAAGACGATAATTATTATACAAAATAATGTGTTTGTAATATAAGTGCGTTAATATATATGTATATATAATTTTGGTGATAATTATTGAGTAATATACTATAATTATATTATATGTGTGTTATTATATATTTAGTGTCTATATATATATATGTGTGTGTATATATATTTGGATCTTTATACAAAGTATAAAGTGTACGATTTTAGAGAATTGATAAACTTTGTTACTTATCTTTTGGCAATCTTAATACAATATATATATATATATATATATTTATTTATTTATTTATTTACCCAAAATATATTGGGGATAAACAATGAAATGTAAAGACCTTCAGGATGTGATCCGGTTTTGAAATGCGGTCAGAAAAAGTGTTCCACTACGATGTTCAAGATCTTATTTACACCAAAATGACCCATCAACCCATTTCATCTGATCCTCTCATCATTAAGTCATGCATGGAGCCTTGTGGTATATATACCGCTTGTTTTTAAATAGGAATCTGTCATGCCGATAAAATGGTTCTGAAACTTCTTTGTTGCACTATTTATAGATATCTGCCAAGTAATCGGTTTCATATTGTATATTAGTCTGTTCAAATCTTAATACCTTTGCTTCTATGATTGCAACCAGTGCATAGCGCCTAGAGAGTGAATGGGTTACCATGTTATCTTTCCCTTTTCTTTACTTGATGTATAGACAAATATTTTGACAAACTTTAGCCATTTGGCATGATCTTATAATGTTTGGTGAATTGGTGTAAACAAGTAGTTAGTCTCAAGACTCTTTGTGCTTTTTGAAAAGATGTTCGAATTGGTATTGTTGTGGAATCAAACCTTCCGGTCTTAGAACTCTTTAAACTGGATCAGTGGACGAGTTTAAAGGAAAGGGGATTCAAAAATGCCACTCAGCTTTATGGGTTTAATCAGAAATAAGTCTAGAACTTAAAGAGAAAGGCTTCTCACACAATATCAAAGAACTCGGATTTGTTTGCAATTTTGTCAAAAATAACAAAAAATATTTTTTTTTTATTGATCAAGTGTAAAAGATACATAGCTGATGGAATCTTATAAATGGTTCAAGCAGCTGATGGCTTCCAAAACTAATTTATTAAAAAAAAATCAATGCGAAAATCAAAATACAAAATCAAAAAAAAAAATCAGAGCAATAATACAAAAGTTTATAAATAAGAACTAGCTGTTAATATCAAACAAGAACACAAATGATTAGTCAAATATAATTTAAATGATTAAAAGACTTACCTTGATTTGTTATTGGCGGATTGGTAGATATGAAAGCTCGGTTTGATCTCTTCTTGACTTTGATTTAGCTCGGTTTGATAGTAAACTGCAGTTCTTTCAGTTGATGATATAACTGGCCATGCTTCATCATATGATTTTAATTTTATGTGAGGACCGTCATGTTAGCGTGCATCATGAGCTCGAGTGACATGGTCTTCAACTACGTCTTGTGAAGCATCCTTTGGAATAATGGTGAGTTTGTCAAGTTTGTCTGTGATATCTTCAAGTGCTTGCTGGCTCATATCTTGGTTTTACACTTCTTGAAGTCTCTTCATTCTGGCTCTTATCCTTGGTGGCAACCCCATTGCAGGGATTGTATATTCAAGTTGATGTCCGCATTATTCCTTTCCTCTTGAGAGGGTTATGACCTTATAATTGTTTCTTCAGCATAAAAAAGGAGCTAGGTTAGTGATATTAAAAGTGGACGAATTATTAAATTTACCTGGCAGCTCAAGTTTGTATGCATTATCGTTGATACGTTCTACCATTCTGAATGGTCTACCTCCCTTATGTGATAGTTTGTATTTCCTTTGGTTAGGAAAACGTTTTGTCTGCATATGTAATCATACCCAACCTCTAGGTTCGAAAGTAATTTATTGCCTCCCTTTATCTGCTCACATTTTATATTGAAGTGCCCTTTTCTCAACATTTTCCTTAGCTTTGAGATGCAGCTTCTTGACAAATTCAGTTTTTCTTTCTCCATCTTGGCTTGCATACTCGTGATGTGGTAGTGGTGAAAGATGCAGTGGAGTAAGAGGCTTAAAAGGAGAAAACTTAGTAGTAGAGTAAGGTAGACAGATATAAGTAAACTTGATAAAAGGCAAACAATCAAGCCAATTCTTTAATTTTTACTAGATGGTGGTCCTCAAAAGGGTGTATAAGGTGCGGCTTGCAACCTTGGTTTGCCCATCTGTTTAAGGATGGCATGTAGTGGAGAAGAGTAGCTTTGTTTGTAGCTTTCTCCAAAGTGTTTTTATAGAAGATGGAGTCTTTGTTCCTGATCTTTGGCAAATCTAATACAAAGTCTATAGAATTAGCTACCCGAGACATGTTAGGGATAGGTAAGAGATTGTAAAGACCATGAGGATGTGACCCAGATTTGGCTTTGAGGCATATGATGCGCAGAATTGCTCTACATCCCTTTTGAGATACGACCAGAATAAGTGTTACACTATTATGGTCAATTCTACAAAAAGGGGAAGAATTGAGCATAATGCTTGAACACTTCTTAAGGCCGTATCTCAAAAAGGATGTAGTGAAATTCTGCACCAAATGCATCATATGTTGCAAAGCCAAATCCAGGTCACATCCTCTTTACATTCCATTACTTATCCCTAACATGTTTTGGGTAGATAATTCTTTAGAGTTTGTATTTGGTTTGCCAAAGGTCAGGAACAAAGACTTTATCTTCTGGAAAACACCTTGGAGAAAGCTACTCTTCTCCACTACATGCCATCCTCAAACAAATGGACAAACCAAGGTTATAAGCCATGCCTTATCCACCCGTTTGAGGACCACCATCTGGTAACAATTAAAAACATTGACTTCATTGTTTGTCTTTTGTCGAATTTGCTTATAACCATGTACCACACTATGTTACTAAGTTTTCTCCTTTTGAGATTGTGCATGCTTTTAAGCCTCTTACTCCACTGCATCTCTCACCACTACCACATCACGAGTATGCAAGCCAAGATGGAGAAATAAAATCTGAATTTGTCAAGAAGCTGCATCTCAAAGCTAAAGAAAAAGTTGAGAAGAGGACACTTCAATATAAGATGTAAGCAGATAAAGGGAGGCAATAAGTTACTTTCGAACCTGGAGATTGGGTATGGTTACATATGCAGACAAAATATTTTCA